CATCCTTGTTCTGTTCTCTTTTCCTGCCTGTTCACCTCCATCTAGTTTCAGGAGAGATATTCCGGTGCAAATGTGGCTACACCGTCTGATTACTGACCCGTGGGGTCTCTGGAGGGCCAGTGTGATAAAGCAGTGGCTCTTGCGTATTTATTTATTTGATTGATTTATTTATGATTGAAGTCTAGTCAGTTTACAATGTGGTGTCCATTTCTGGTGCACAGCATCACGTTTCAGTCACACATGTACATGCGTAATATTCCTTTTCATATTCTTTTTCATTATAGGTTACTACAGGTTATTGAATATAGTCCTCTGTGCTCTACAGTATAAACGTGTTGTTTATCTATTTGATATGTAGTAGTTTGAGTGGCATGTAAGGCCAGGGCTGCCTTCCTAGGTTCCCACTGTTGGACTGACCTTCCTCCTGCCTCCTGCCTCCGGAAACCTGGGCACACGTAAAGGCCCAGCTCAACCATACCTGGTACAGGTGGCCTTCTCTCATGACCGCCAGCCCTGACACAGGGGCCTCTCTGTGTGGCGGCCGTGTGGCTCCCTGACACTCTGTGCACCCCTCCACTAGGGCGCTTAGCACACAGTGTAAAATTATTTGCTTTTCCCTCACTGGACTGCACTTAGGAGGGGAGGGTTCTGTCTTAGTCTAGCAGTTTTTGGTGCCTGGCACCTGGAGAGCCATTGAAATATATTTGCTCAATTAAGTGGCTTCTGGTTGCCAGCAACGTGCCTGTTCACCAGGCGGGCTTGGTAGGGCCCTGCGTTGAGGTCCCTCGGGAGACACTGTTTGAGTTACTGGATGGATATGAGTGACTTGGAATGGGACTTATTCTGAAATAATCCACAGTTAAAACTTCAGGCTGCTTTTACCCATCATCTGAACTAATGAGGTTTCTGTGCATTTTTATTGCCTTCTTAGTGGGAAAAAACACTGTAGGGTTTTATTTTTCTAGCCCTTTACATGGAATCTGGAACAGATGCCAGTTCTGCCGTTAGCCTCCTGTCTGTGTAATGTGCGCACAGACACACGTGCACAGGCACACTCGTGCACAAGCGGATGTGCACAATTAATAGTCCACTTTATTTCATGGCCATTTCTGTCCTGTCATTTGGGTGATTTGTGCATTTCCTATCTGAAGGATTCTTCTTTCTCCCTGCGTATTTATTTTTATGTATGTATGTATTTTTTTTACCAGTAGAACCTTGTTGTTTATTTTAGGTATGGCAGTTTTTATCTGCTAATCCCAGACTCCCATTTATCCCTCCCCCACGCCCGTGACGGATTCTTCGCAGATGTTTCCCTCCACTTCCTGTATGTGTCGCTTGGAATCTGGCCTTTTGGGTACATCCTGAGACACACTGGGACATGAGATCCTTTGACACCTTGTTTGAATCTGAAATCTGAACTTGCAGTGCAGTTGAGACTCTTCACGTTATGTGTGTTTTATGAATGCTCTGAGACGTCATGAACGCAGTTTGCATTCCATACTCTTATTTAACAAACCAGAGTCGCTAATCACTTGATGTCTCTTTTGTCCATTAAAAAAACAAGATAGTCTTCAAATGAAAACCCAAAAATACTGTACATAGAAAACTATAAAAATACAAAATGTTATACTCCCACAGAATATATTGATATGACAGTTCAGTATACTGTGGGCTAATGATTTTCAATCAAATTCTACTAGAATGAAGTTACTAAGCAGATTGGCAGTGAGATTAATATGGTAAGGGTAAAAGTTTAATCAATTTAGGAAAATAAACAATAGTTCAGGAGAACCATATAAATGTCCGTTATTAGACTAATTACTCATCCTCCTCCTCATTACAACACCCGACCAAGGACCGCTTTGCTAGGTCAATTCACCAATTTGTTTGGAATTAACAGAGCTTCACTGAAAATAGTAGTTAATTCTGGCCTTTCACAGATTCAGATGAAACTTTCCTTTAACTAATCCAAATGGTGGTGATACAGATGACATGTAAATCTATTTACATTGTAAGCCTTGCTTCCTGTTCTAAGGAATTAATAGAAATTCAATATTGTTTAAGTTGAGCTTTGAATTGTATTTAATGGTCGGCATGGATTTTTAGAGCTGTTCTCACTTAGACCTGTCCGAAGCTTTCAAAGACAAAGCTTTGCAGTTTCTGTGGGCTCATATTAAGAACAAGGAAACAAATTAAGGATTCTCAGAGATACATTCCAGATCGAGGAGTTTTAAACAATATAAACCACTAACATCTTTTAAAACTTTTGGAGTGTGTGTATTAGAACTGAAAGCTGGTCCCCACCCTAGACCTGTGAGATTAATAGGTCTCCGCTTTGTGTCAACTGCATTGTTGACAAGAACATTTTACTACAAAGTGTGTAATAATCGTAATAGTAAAGGCGCTGAGTTCTTACCGCATGCAACTACTTTTCATGTATTTTCTCAGTCCTTACTATAGACTCACAAGAAGGATAGAGTTTTCTGAATCAGAAAACTGTGGTCTGTCAGAGTCACACAGTTAGTTAGTGGAGGGCCCCCATATCACATTTGACTTTCCAAAAACACATGCACTTCATTCACTTTATGTTGAAAATTCTCTGATGGCCTCAGTTTTGCTTAAGACAGTGAAAGAACTAGCTAATTCCAAGAGACGTTTTTTCATTACAACTGAACATTTCAATTCTGGAACCAAAGTGTGCCGCATATGCAAACTTGGTAACATAGTTAGCTAAGAAACAGGAAGTTCCAAGGAATTTTAAAATAGGTTTAAAGTTGTGTAGTTTTGCATGTTGAAGCACAAGCAGAAAATAAAGCATGCGGTGACTGCAGTGAGGAATTTTGCTTGGGAGCTATTTTCTGTGTGGTCACAACTCCAGGCAGCCAGGTTCCCCCTTCCCTCAAATACAAATCCGTTGCTCCTGCCTTTTACTGGAGAATATTGATTTGTTGTTTGAAAAGGCAACAGGGCTTCTCTTCTCTAAACCTCTCTCATCTGCGGGATTTCTCCCACACGCTCGGCTTCTAGGGCCCCTCTCTCCAGTTTCTCTGAGTGGAAAGACCGGCTTCCTCTGGAGTTCTGACCCCCGGTGCTGTGCAGAGGTCCATGCGGGGGCATCCATACAGAGCAGCAGGGGACGAGGGAGGCATCAGCGGTGATCCCCGTGCTCTTTGCACCGCTGGGTCTCTTCTGATTCTTCTGTCCGAAGGGTTGGGTCATGTTTGGGATGTTAAATGACCGCGCCTCCTCGGGGGTGGCAGTGCAGACCTAGGTGTACAGCTGGTCGTGAAGCAGGGCCAGGAAGATGGAAACGTGGGGGCCTCTGCACACTCTGGCTTGCAGGGTCCCTGTCTTGCTTCTTTAGCCAGAATGACGGCCTTGACTAGGGATGGTGTGCTGTTTGACCCATTTACACAGCTCCCAATTTGTCTTGTCTACAGGCCAAATCCTGGATGAGAAAAAAAAAAGAAAAAACCCAGAAAACCCCTTGTAGCTGAGTTGACCTTCCGTTAGGATTTGACTTCCCTCCTTAGTCCACTGGCTACTCTTCGCTTTCAGGCTCCTCAAGACGGTTGTTTGCCATTTTGTCCAGCGTCGGTCATGACCAGAGGGTGGTCAGAAGGCAGGGGAACAGGCTCCTTTCCCAGACCAGCCCTTGCTAGTGCTCATCCCCCCGCACTCGCCGCAGAGCCGCCGGGACAGGCGCTGAAGTCGGTGAAGTGGAGGGCAATGTAAAACGGCGACCGCTGTGCGGCAGGAGAGCAGGCGCTTGGCCCAGAGCCTTTCACTCTCTGCCCCTGTGCCGGAGCGGAGCCTCAGCGCAGCCGCAGGGACCCTCCGAGCCGGCAGGCCCGCGGCCTCTGCCCGCGAGCGGCCTTGCCGCGGGAGGGGAAGCCTGCTTTCTGCTCCTGCCTTCAAACTGGGTTATTCACACGACAGTGTAAGCCTTTCCCATTTAACTGCAGGGATTGCTCGCCTCGATTTTCCATCTTCTCGTCCTCTTTCCTCTTAAAGTTTCCGGTTGATTGACGTATATGTTTTTTCTTTACCATGTGGGCTTATTGAGAAGATTCATTCTTTGCTTTTTATAGTTGCTGTACTTTCATGAAAAACTGCAATTTGATGAGTATGTTTCACCGAGCCTTTCCTCATTTATGCATGAAGAAATTTATTTTAGTGTGTTAGCCTTTGGGAAATGATGAATTTAATAGATCAGTAATTATTCCACTCAAAAAAGATCATTAGAATTCCTCTCTATTTGATTACTGTAAATCACCAAATCCACAATTTATTTATCAGCTGCATCCATTAATTCAGACTTGCTGGCCCTTGACTAAGAGACCACTATAACTTCTTATTTTAAAACTTCCTAAGAACAAATACTAATAGAAAGTGGTATGCCTTAAATATATCTGATTTTAAAATCTCAGTCTGATAAAACTTTTTTTTTGGCTTTGCTTGACATCTTTATTACCTTAAGACTGTTTTCCAATAGAGTCACAATCTAAATAGAAATGTGCTTTTCTGTTAGGAGATTGGGGTGATTATTAACAGCTTCTAAGGGATCACTGTGGCGTCAACATCTTGGCAGGAAGTAAGAGGCAGTGTTTGTGACTATGAATGCCTTTTTATGTCCTTGTCCATTTGGTGTGAACACCTGTGTGTGTGACCCTTCTGGGAACTTGCTCAAGAGTAGTCTTTCTAGAACTTTAGGTGCTCCCACTTCTAAAATGGGTAATCTGGTTAGAAAAATGAGCACCCAAAGCACACTAAGCCCGTGCGTGGTGTCAGCACAGAGCACGTGTAGACAGAAGCACCACTGAGTCCAAGGTCATCTGCTGAAGCTTCCTTTTAGAGACAACTCAGAACTGCAGCCTGGGCCTCTGCTCAGCAGTGCTGGGGCTGAGATCAGGGGAGCGACGAGAGAGAAACTGTGACAGTCTGCTGTGTTCACAGTCTAAGTGTGTCTTTCTTTTCTCCTTTTCTCCCGGGGTCTGCAGTTTACCGTGGCTTCTGGGCGGTCCTGATGCTTCTGGGGGTAGTTGCCGTGGTGACTGCAAGCTTTCTGATCATCTGTGCAGCCCCCTTCGCCAGCCACTTCCTCTATAAAGCCGGGGGAGGCTCCTATATTGCCGCAGGTACGTCTGGTGTGAAGCATGTGATTTCCAGCCATAGATTTTCTCCTTGTCTTCCGATTTTCAATGTCTAGTTTCAGCGGTGAGGCTTCTAGTGTAGTAAGATGTTGATATTCACATATAGTATTTCCTCAGTGCTAACTGTATGCCACACACTTTTCCAGGGACTTCCTGTTTCCCACTTGCTCCTTGTATCCATGTTAGATGAACGAAGGCACTGGACTGGAAAGCTCTGCTCTGAGAGTCCTTTAATCTCTCTTATCCTATTAATTTTCCACCTGTAAAATGGGGGTTATAACATGTCCCTCTGTAACATCTGGACATAGGTGAAGCTTTTTGCGTACTCTTAAAAAGGTAGCCCCCTTACGATATTACAGAGCCTCATGATTTAGTTATTATTGGGAAAAAGCATCTTTTTCTATAACACTGTCATTCCATTTTCTTAATTGAAGTTCATGTGCATTATCTAAACACCTCTTCTTTGTAAAACCTGCATTTATTTTAGTCAGCTTTCTGAGTAGTCTTTCGAATTCCTGCTAAAATGGTTGTAGTACAAACAGGAAAATAATTGAATAGATGAGTCTTGTGAATTTTAAGACTTTCTCACTTAATTAGGAAGTAAAAGCCAGAGCACTAACCTGAAAACACAAGCACAAGGTGTTTTGTAAACATAGTAATTCTGGGAATTTAGACAAACTTCAGCATGACTAAGACCAAACTGTCCCTGAGTATTTTGTATTGTGACACCAGGTAGGTAGATCTCACATGAGAGTGTGGTGACCGTGCACGGCAGGACGAGCGGACGGCTCTCCTGTCTTTATAATCCCCGCAGACACAGCGCACGCCGCTGCCCAGCGTCATTCAGTCAGCGGTCAACTAACACGCAGTTCTCTTAGGCACCATTTGTGTGCAATATGGTGCTTAACTTTGCATAGACAATAAAAAGAATAATCAGATATAGATCCTCTGCTCGAAGAACTTCCAGACCCTCCTCCTATAAAACAACAACAACAAAAAGCAAAACCAACACCTGAGAACAACCACCAAGAACAAGGGCCCTGTTTGACCCATTCCTTCTTTCTTTCGTCCTTTGTTTCAACTCTTCTTCACTGAGTTTTCAGGGCCTTTATCAAAGGCCTGGATTTACCCACTTGAGCTCATAATTTTAAAAATAATTTAAAATAATTAAGATACAATTCACATACCACAAAATTTACCATTTTAAAATGTATAATGCAGTGTGTTTTAGGTACGTTTCCAGAGTTGAGCAAAGATCACCACTGTCTGACTCCAGAATATTTTTATCACATCACAAAGAAACCTCATTCTCTCCTCTCCTCCCCTCACTCCGTCCCTGAGAACCACAGATCTACTTTCTGTCTCTGTGGGTTCACTCTTCTGGACATTTGATGCGTGTGGAATCACACAACATGTGGCCTTTTACGCCTGGCTTCTTTCACGTAGATCTCATAACTGGTCATCTCTCTTCTTCACTTCGTGATTTCATACGACCGAGTCAAGTCTCTTATATGCCTTAGAACTGAGCATCTTCTTTACCAAATATTTGTTTTTCTCCCCTAAACTACACCCTACCCTCGCTTCATTCCATGGTCTAGTTAAGGTGTGCATTTTCCCATGGTCTTCCCAGAAATAACAGTTCTCTGCTCAAATGTGTGAATATTTGTTTCTTCTTCTTCTTCTTTGGTTTTTAACCTTCCAAAATCTGTCAGTAAAGGGACCCTGTGCTGGCAGCAGTTTAGCGCCACCACTGAGGGCACCACTCAGACATGCTGTGATCCTGGCTTGGTCTTATTAGGTAACTGTGTGTGTGTGTGTTGTTTTTGAAAAAAAAATTGGTTGGTCATTTTTCCAGTTTGTAATTTGTTTGAGAAAAGGTAGTTTATCTAAAGAATTGTGTTTGGCTGAGGGCTTCGTAGGAAGAGGAAGCATCTGATTTGTACCCACATGCCTGTGACCAACAGACTTTCCTTTTTCGCTCAGCCTTCTTCTGCAGAGGGTGGGGCTGAGGCCCTCTCGGTTCAGGTCCTGATGAGAAAGCCAGCTGGGTGAGAAGTGCCCACGGAGTCCTGGGAGCCCGGCCTGAGAGCCCCTAAGCCAGGTGCCTGGGAGGATACTGCTTCTCAGATCTGGCTCTTCATTTCCTTCATGGCCCAGTTCTTTGTGCAGGACCGTTTATCTCCCAGGAACGCAGAGACATATTCTTTTGGATGAGGTCAAAAAAAAAAAAGTTACTGTTTACTTTTTTATCAGTTTGGGTAGGAAGAGTAATGCCCTGAGGAATAACTAAAACTGACTGTCCAGTAGCAGTTTCCACAATCTTTTAAAGCAGTTATGGAGCAAATAAATCATCCTTAAACCCGGGCAATACTTTTTAAGACAGAAGAACTTTTTAAATCTTTCAAGTTTCTATTATTAAATCCCCCAGATAACGTTGACAGGCAGCTAGCTCTTTCAAAGTTGGAGACGGAAATGTACGTACTGTTCTATACGAACACCAGGGAAATAGGTGCCGAACACCAGGTTTCTGGGCAGCCAAGCCTGTTCTGCACTGCGCTTAATATGGAACTATGTGTGTGGTCATTACTGGGTTAAACTGGATTGACTTCATAATGCTTTCTTTGGTTAGATGTTACATTTTCAAGGTGAAGAGCTCTCATTCCAGGGCCTAGTCCCCGCCAGACTTCTTTCTTTCGGGGGCTGGCCCCTCCGTTCCCTGCCCCGCCCTCTCCCTGTGCCGGCGCTCTGTGCGTGGGAGCAGGTGTGGCCCGGGCCCACGGTCGCTGTGGTTACTGCATCAATGCCACAAACAAGATTGGATGCTCTTTCTTTATTTGGGCAGATGGCCTTAAGACAGGGCAAAACCAAATTCCAAGTGGCCGTCGCTGGGTGTGTACACGCAAAAAGGCTCTCTTGGCATCAGCAGGGAGACTATTTTGGGGCATTCTGCGCAGGGCCCCGCACGTTGGTGTCACAGCTGTCCATGTGAGCAAGGGGTGGGGGCCACGGCTTTCCTCTCATTGTGCCGACAGCTCAGAGCAAGGTTTGGAGGCCATATGCTGCCACTCCCTGCACTTGGGCAGACGCCTCCTCAGGCCGGCCAGCCATGTGTTCCCCAGGGAAGTTCAGTTCTGGGCCAAGTGTATGGTCATCGTCAGGATGTATGACACCCGAGTCTGTTTCAGTGAGTCTCACGCCACACTCTCCACTGCCTGAACAGTTGCTAAGGTTTCAGTGAACTTGTTAGTGTGGACTCTAGGAGAACTCAGAGACAAAGGACAGTTGTGTCTTCTCCTAACCCTGCGGTGTCAGGTGTGACGGGAGAGACGCGGGAAGGCGTGACGTTGCAGAATGTTTGAATTACGTGGAGGAAATAATTGTACAGCTGAATATTCTTAATGCCCGAGCAAAGCGACATCAGGACAGGCGCCAAGCCTGAATGGGACTCGGGAGCGCGAGACTAGTGATGGGGTCTGGATGCTCTGAGACACTGACATTGGCTGATAAGCCACAAAAGCTGGGAGTTAGTGGTTTACCAGCAGCCCGGGGTAGAAAGATTGTCCTTCCATAGTTGAAATCACCTTTTCAGAATGACAAACTGAGATTACATTTTTCTGCTGAATGTAGAGCTGGACAGAGTCTCACCTGGGTAGAGGGGCCTGGACAGCTTCTTGGCTTAATGCCTTGTTAGAGTCTCACGTTGTGAGACCACACGGACATCTTGCACATCAGAGGAACCCAGCAGCCCACACGCCAGGCCCAGTATGTGCTGGCCAAAGGGAAGGACACCTTTGCAATGTGAGTCATCCTTTGGAACGTGATGGAGGCAGTGCTGGGGCCTGACTGCAGCCCCAGTCTGTGACCGCAGGGTGTTCTTTGCCCAGACAGCTATTTCACAAGCTGCTGTTGGTCACTAGGGACAGAGCGGAGTGAACTGGGGTGAACTGTGTAAATCCTTTACCGTGTAGGGCAGACGGCCTGAGCACATCATTCTGTGGCTCAGCGCTGGTCCTTCTGGACTGGGAACAGTGCTTTCTAAGAATACAGGGGCAGGGACCCCCCTTAAAAACGGAAGGAAGGGAAGTAAGTGAAGATGAAGGAAATGTAACATTCTTGTATCTAGAGGGTTGTACTGACTGAGAAGGAAGTTGGATTTGTGGTTGGTTTTCCTTCCTCCTTTCAGGAGACCAGTAGATTTTGTGGCAGCTCATCATAAGCCACACTCATTTCCGCACGAGATAAGATAACTGTGATGGATGCCTAATACGAGAGAGTTTTTAGTCTTAATCCTGGAAAAATAGCTCAGAGAAGCCGAGGGACATATTTCAGACATTGTTTCCTTTGTCTGAGACCAAACACACAGGAGGCGTTGCGGGTCGTGCCTGGCTCCTTGCGTCTTCCTCCAGGTAAAGCCGAGCACGGCAGCAGTTGGAGCAGAAGAGCACGTGGAGGAACCAGAAGACGGAGAGCAGGACAGGATTGGGGGGGACTGCTGACGGCCTGGAGGCAGGCGTTCTAGACTTGCAGGCCCACACATCTCCCCGCTTGCACCTGCTGTCCCCATGCCCATATGCTGTAAACAGCCGCTGACCTGGGAGAGGCAAAGGGGGCCTCGGTGTGAGGACAACGGGCCTGGAGGGCCAGCGAGTGCGTGCCTGGGTAGGCGGCCTTCCCAGAGCGTCTGTGTCTGCCTTAGTGTGCGAGAAGTGGGCTTTCGGACCAAAAGCATAACCGCCCAGCATGGAGCCGGATATTTCACCCAGGTCTGGGACTTCAGCTTTATATTCAGACGTCTGGTTTGCTGGAGGTGGACGGTGGAAAGAAAAAAGGATTAACTGAAACTATGCGCTACTGACGTATCCGCCAGATGTACTTCTGCAGCAGAACTAGTGTCTCTTATTTTCATGAAATGCAGAACGGCTGCTTGCATTTCCCTTTTGCTCAATGCAAAGGCTTAGGTACACAGACCTGCCTTCTAAGCAGGA